GTGACCAATACGAGAGTAAGAAAATAGTCGCAAATTTGCGATGTTTGAGCAACGTTTTTGTGACCGCTTTGTTGTTATGACACTTTTGTGACCCTTTTTCAGTTTGGGTTTCGAAACATTTGCCCTAATTTGCAAAAAAATTTGGGCCTTTGGACGGCTAAAATTCCTTCTAAAACTTAATTTGTGACGCTTTTGCAACGGATAAGCCACGCCTACGATAAATATACAGTCAAACCCCTAAAAAGAAATTATCTCTCGACTCGACAGCGACACAATCGCCTCTCGGTCGATTTCTCCATTTTTCCGATCAAAATCTCCTCCTCCTTCTCTATTCTCTCTCTTTTCTTAATCGCCTCCTCCTTCTCTGTTAATTGAACCCATTCGGTTCGATTTCTTTTCTTCTTCTCCAACCCTCAATTTTCTTCCTCATCGCGATTCTTCATTCCTTTGAATCGCGATGTGTAAACACATGGCTATTCGCAATAAAGGTAAAACCGCCGGCACCGACGCTGGTGGTGGAAGAGAAAGAGACGGATCTAGTGGTGGAAGAGGAACCGCCGGATCTGGTAGTGGAAGAGAAACGTCTGTCTCTCGTGGAAAAGGAAAGGGCGTCGCTCTATTCGACGGCTCTGGTGGTTCACGGACCAGTCGTGGAAGAGAAACTGTCGGATCTGGAAATGGTGGAAGAGAAAGCGGTGGTTCTCATGGAAGAGAAAGCGGCGGTTCTCGTGGAAAAAGAGCCGGCGGTTCTTGTGGAAGAGAAGGCGTCGCAACTTGTGGAAGAGGAGCCGTCGGTTCTCCAAACTCCACTGGTTCTCCAGGCAGTGTTGGCTCCAAACGTCCCGCCGCTTTACCTATCGACAGTGGAGGTGGTTATCGCTCCAAACGCAAAGCCATCCTCTATGAAGGCGGTGGTCGCAGTGGAGCCGGCGCTGGAGCTTCTACATCCAACACCGATGGTGGCACTGGTAGTGTCTCTGAACAGACAACCTCCGCCTCACTGTCTCGGACAAGCCTTCCAGCTCAGTATCCTTCTCGTACCCTCCCGTTGCAGATGAATCTTCGCTCTCCTCCTCCTGGGTGAATCTTCGCTCTCCTCCACCTGAAGACACTACCCAGGAGGTTCCAGAAGAAGAAGAGGATTACGAGATGCCCCAATACAAAA